AATCTTACACAAGGAGATTGTAACTGTAAAGATTCTAGAGGTTGCTTCTTACCCAAATCTTAAACAACTACAGGGGTAGCGCGGTGCGAGATCATAAGTGATTCGAACTCGCCTTGGTAGATTCAAACTGATTTAATGGTAGATCAAGTCCGTAGATCTAGTTCACGATAGGTAGCGACTGACGAAATAGCGTGTAGTAGCAGATACAAATAGTAGAAGTAGTCGTACAAGCAGGTTCGAACTGAAAAGCGATGGTTAAGAATACGTCCTACGTAGATAAGGCGTAAAATACAAATCTAACAGAATAGAACAATCATAAGAAAACTAACAAGATCATTGCATGAAACAAATAGAGGTGACAACTGATACTTGAAATTAATAAAACTGAGACGATACCAACTCCTGTCGTAACAAACGAAGATATCAACGGAGATCTTGCAAAATAGCAAAATATAGCGTGAAAGAATCACAATTTGGTAATCATATGACAACTGGACTAATTCAAGTAACCTGACAACAAGCCTGAGCAATAATGGACCTCGTGAAAAGCGATTTCAACAAAACCTAGATAAACTAAATGAAACTTTTTCGTGATAAAGAAAAGACTAACAATTCGCGATAAAAACTTACTAAAACGTACTTTGGTTGACGACTCGCACCAAAGGGTAGCAGAGAGACAACGAAATACACGAAATAGCGGCAACTTCGATCCTCTGATCGTAGCACAATAGCGGTGTAACTTCACTAACAATCTCTGACTAAAACGTTGCACGTCGTCGTTTATTGCCTATGCTACGTGATAAAACAAGGGCGTTGCGAGAAACGTGGCGCCCACAATAAAGACTATTTCCTAGCGGTAGAGTCTAGAACTATTAGATACGTGTGAAAATCACGATTCTATGAAAGCTTTGATTTTGAAATCACGTACTTGGCTTGAATAATAACTGATAATAAATCAGTCGGAAGTTCAAAGGAAATTGATAAACGATCGGCGTTTCAAAACTAACAGAAATCAGATTTGAAACTACCACCGTCGGAAAGACGAAAATTCCGAACAGCAGTGTTGAAAAAAGAGTAGATTTAATGGAAACTTTTCTGGCTCAAATTCCAAATCGTTTCGTAGAACACAATTTATATTCTAAAGAGACCCATATGAAAATGCAATAACAGTATTCGGGAATGAAAACTCACCTTTCTTGCTGGCTTCGTCCGAGCCAAAATGAAATGACTGAAATGAATGATGATCTCTAATGAATTACAAGCCGGCCATCACAAAATATCACGAGGTTTTGCAAGGTGACACAATATCTCACAATATATCAAATGTTCATCACGTATCACACGACATCATAAGGCGTCAGAGGCATCACAAGGCATCGCAAGGTATAGCAAGGTGTCACAATATATCACTCACAAGATATCACAAGGTTTCAAACGGTCTCACAAAGCTTCACACGACATCACAAGGCATCACAAGACATCAAAATGTATCACAAGTATCACCAGGTATCACATGGTTTGATGAAAATTAATCAATTTGCCTTTTACTTTAAGGCGGGGGTTAACGTGAAGGCCGTATTTTGGCTGGGTATTATGGTTTTAACGCAAATATCTCGTTCATGTTTCAAGCAGTCAAAAAACTCTCTGCTCATCGCACATGTCTACGTTTTGGTCTCTTTTCCAAATTTTTGTTGGTTTTTGGGTATATTTGGGAATAAACAGTTTTTCTCAAAAGATTTATAAAATTTAAGGGAATAGGAATCGCTTTTTAAACTCTTAGACTCGCACGAGGCATAGCCTCGTTTTGGCGCTAAGCTTATTTTCGTCCTATAACGCCATGAAATTGGTGTTTACATTTCCAATCGTGACAGAAGTGTTAAACTCGTGACTTTCTTCACCTCTATTAGCTTGACAATAGCTACACCTTGAATTACCTTAAAATCGTTTTCGTAAGCTGGGTATTATGGGTTTAACGCAAATATCTCGTTAACGTTTCAAGCAGTCAAAAATCTCTCTGCTCATCCCACATGTCTACGTTTTAGGCTGTTTTTAAAATTTTTTGGTGATTTTTGGGTATATTTGGGGATAAACAATTTTTCTTAAAGGATTATTAAAATTTATGGAAATAGGAAATTTTGACGATTTGATGTTGTATTAAAATTAAAATTTGAAGTTATAAATTGGTAGACGTAGACCAAACAGTTGTCCACCAGCCTGGGGTGCCCTTTCGGGGGGAGTTCAGCTGTCTGGTGGTGTTCCAAAAGTTTTTTTTCCTTTTAATTCCTCTTTAAACTTCCTAAAACTTAACTTAAATTCAGGTAGACCTCCGCCTTGAAGGCGGACAATTTAGAATATTTCCTGACGTTTAAATCAAGTTTTTAGTGCCAGATATATTCATCTGATATGGATACGATGTTCAAACTGACGAGAGTTAGAAATTCCTCCACCTTTTACTTTGGTGTTGATGTAACCTGTATTTGCTCCGAGTGTCCATTCCTGGGCATGTGAAAGGGAAATTGGGCTCAATGGAAAGAAGGCCTGAGTGAGTTACATGAAATGAATGTTTTGGACAACTTTAAATTTACCTCATACTATTTACCGTGGTTGCAACTTAAATTGCAGATGGGAGATGTGAATGGAAAAAAAAAAAAAAAATTGCCAACTTAAGCGGGAAAATTCCCGCGCTTTTCAGAGAATGAATCACCTAACGAGTTTGACAGGGAAAGCACAAGTGTCAGAAAATAAGAGGTCGAAAACACATTCGATTCCAAACGAGTTTGTTGCTGCTGTTGTTGTTGTTGTTGTTATTGTTGTCACAACAAAGGATACCAACTACGTTAACATACATATAACGCATGCTCCCGGATGTGTGGGGCCGAAGTGTGAGATGAACTTCCTGAACAGCATTAGCCATTAACATGATTGGATCTGTCGGCGAAACCTGCCATGAACAAACAAACAATAAGTACTAAACAATTTCATACACCGCAAATACTGTGTGGATTATTATCAGTGCTAGTTTGTGGCTAGTTTACAAATCATCGGGAAATTTTCCTGTTCTTTTTGTCAGTGTTTAAAGTAAGACATCAAGCACGTAAGACCTTGTTTGATCACATTTCAAACAAGAGAAAAGAGAGTTGAAAAAAGGATGCGCAGCGGAGTATTTTTGACGAGATCCGAGGTGTTTGGAAATGTGGTGATACACGGTCTTCTAGTGTTTAATGTAATATATCTACCACAACAAAGGTTTATCGACCGTTTTGAGGCTGTTAATAGGGGGTTTAAGAAAACCACGACGGAAACGGCAACGGGAACGTCGCTAAACAAAAGATTTAATTAGGAGAACAATGGCTGTGCACGTGCGTTATAATTCTTGGTACATTTCTTTACCGTCCTCGGCAAAACAACAACGTGAAATGACCAAATTCTGCGTTGTCTGGAGAACGTGAACCACGACGGCTAATTTTTTAAAATTTTATTTAAAGTTTATCGCTGTGCCCCAGATTCAGTTTTGTGAAAGTCTTGTCAGTGATAAAGAAAGTAAATGACTTTAGAGTATCGCGAGATTCGTAGGTAAAATATAAAGTCATTTTTTAATCGACGTTGTCCTCGGCGTCCCCGTCGTGGTT